CACCCTTGGTACGCAAGGGGAAGACCGTGGTGTAGCGCGAGTAGTCATCAACAACTATCAGGAAGTACCTCTCCTGACCCTGACCACGGACGCGGGCTGGGCCCCACACGTCCATGTGGAGCGTCTGCAAGGGAGCAGTCGTCGGGGGAAACGAGGAGGAGTGAGGAGCGGCGCGCTGCCGCCCCTCGACACAGGGAAGACAGGGAGGAGCAGGCGAGGGTGGGAGGGGAGGGAGGACCCTGGGAAGACCAGAGACAAGGTACCGGGAGTGCATGGCACGAAGGCGCTGCACAGACGGGTGGCCAAGTCGGTGGTGCCAGAGGACGGTCTCATGCGCCAGAGAGCGACACGAGCAGGGGGGCGACAGCTGACCTGACGCAGACGCAGACGCAGACGCAGCTACCTGAGGGGACTCAGTGGTCAGTGTGTACAGGTCCGACCCCGGCTGCCGAGTGAAGGTAGCCAGGTGACGGCCCGTCCGAGCACACGTGCAGTGTGTCACGCGCTCGTAGGCAGGGGTGAACTGGTGAACACCTCCGTCCTGGAGCGCACAACCCGCCACCAAGTTCGTAGAGAACGAGGGGAGGTGGAGACCTGACAGTGTGCCCGACGGGACCGCAGGACAAGGAAGGACAGTGGAGGAGGTCGCAATGACCGGACCCCCAGAGGGGTCAGCGAGGGAGACAGCAACTGGCCGAGCAAGCGGCTCAAGGGCAGTGCGGTCACGAAAGAAGCACCTGAGTCCAGAGTGAAGGTGTGCAGTGCCTCAGTCGACTCAGTACCAGGGGGCGCAGACTCACTAGCACCTAGAGCAGCAGCCTCACCAGCACCTGGGGTAGCAGCCGCACTAGCACCTAGAGCGGCAGCCTCACTCACAGGACACGGCAGCTGCACCTGTCCATCACCAGAAGCTCCCGACCGACCCACTCCAGAGCGACTACCACTACGGCCACCCCGACAGCCCCAACTGGCGTACCACTCACGAAGCTGCTGGGGTGAAAGAGGACACTGCAGCTGCACCTGTCCACTACCAGAAGCTCCCGACCGACCCACTCCAGAGCGACTACCACTACGGCCACCCCGACAGCCCCAACTAGCGTACCACTCACGAAGCTGCTGGGGCGTGAGGGACTCACGCGCACGGCCCTGGAGCTGCATCTGGCCTCGCCAGGAGCAGCAGTAGCAGCAGTAGCGGCAGTAACAGCAGTAACAGCAGGAGCAGTAGCAGTGGGAGTAGAAAAGGCAGTAGCAGCAGTAGCAGTGCTGGCAGGGCAATGCTCACCAGTGGTCGGCGCGGCAGGCGCAAGACGGTGGCGACCGCGGGGCCGCTACAACTGCAAGGCGGAGCCGGGCCGCAGCAAGGAGCTCCGCGGCAGCTGCTGCAGGGCGAGGCCGGGCCGCGACGGCAGCTGCTCCAGGTGCCTGGGGCGGCTGCTGCAGGTGCGGGCTGCTCCAGGGGCGGCTGCTGCAGGTGCAGGCTGCTCCAGGGGCGGCTGCTGCAGGTGCGGGCTGCTCCAGGGGCGGCTGCTGCAGTGGCGGGCGGCTCCAGGGGCGGCTGCTACAGTGGCGGGCGGCTCCAGGGGCGGCTGCTGCAGTGGCGGGCGGCTCCAGGGGCTGCTGCTGCAGTGGCGGGCGGCTCCAGGGGCTGCTGCTGCAGTGGCGGGCGGCTCCAGGGGCTGCTGCTGCAGTGGCGGGCGGCTCCCAGGGCGGCTGCTGTAGTGGCGGGCGGCTCCAGGGGCTGCTACTGCAGTGGCGGGCGGCTCCAGGGGCGGCTCCACGGGCAGGTGGCGACGCCGCGGGCAGGGCGACGCGGCGGGCAGGTGGCGACGCCGCGGGCAGGGCGACGCGGCGGGCAGGTGGCGACGCCGCGGGCAGGCGACGTCGCCGCGGGCAGGCGACGACGCCGCGGGCAGGCGACGACGCCGCGGGCAGGGGCTGCGTCGCGGGCAGGCGACGACTACGCGGGCAGACGACGACGCCGCGGGCAGGCGACGACGCCGTGGGCAGGCGAGTACGCCGCGGGCAGGGGCTGCGTCGCGGGCAGGCGACGACGCCGCGGGCAGGGGCTGCGTCGCGGGCAGGCGACGACGCCGCGGGCAGGCGACGACGACGCCGCGGACAGGGCGACGCGGTGGGCGGCGAGAGCCTGCAGAGGCGGCGCGCGGTCGGGCAGAGGCTGCGCGCGGGCCTGACGGGTCTGCAGGGGCGGCTCTCGGGCGTGACGGGCCTGCAGAGGCGGCTCGGGGGGGGCCTGACGGGTCTGCAGAGGCGGCTCGGGGGCCTGACGGACCTGCAGGGGCGGCTCGAGGGCGCACGAGGGCGCACGAGGGCGTACGAGGGCGTACGAGGGCGCACGAAGGCGCACGAGGGCGCACGAGGGCGCACGAGGGCGCACGAAGGCGCACTAGCAGAGAAAGGCGCACGAGGGCGCACGTAGGGTAGGGCGCACGAGGGCGCTTCTAGCGGAATAGTGGGCCCATTGTAGAAAGCGGTCCTAGGTAGCAACCTAGGCTCGTGATACCATGTTAGAATCTTAGAATAGAACGAGAATGGATGAACTAGCAGGAAGTTGGGTACAAGTAGGAAACCCTAAGTTTGTGTACCCTCTAAGGCTAAACCCACTATAGCCTACACAATATAAACATACAATGTTTGACATTGTCCACCACTGAGAGCGAGTACATCAGTCTGTGTCAGTGCATTCAGGAGGGTGTGTGGCTGAAGCGTTTGTTTGGGGAGTTTGGGCATGAGTTTGCTGGTGGTGTGCCTGTGTTTGTGGACAACCAGTCTGCCATTGCCCTTGCACAGAATGCATGCTTACATAGCCGCACCAAGCACATGCAGGATCGGTGGCATTTTGTCAAGGAGACGGTGGCAAGCGGCGAGGTGATCCTCCGGTGGTGCCCAACCAACCGTCAAGCAGCAGACATACTCACCAAACCCCTTCCTTTTGAGCGGCATGGTGTGTGCATGTCCTTGATGGGGATGCAGCCCCATGTTGGCATGGTGCCTGAGCAGGATGTGGGAGGGCTGGTGCTTCTCTGCCTTGACGACATCATGCTGTGGATGGCGCCCCTCCCTGGGCAAGGGGGAGTGGAGTGAAGGATTTTGCCCAGTGGTGTTCAGCCACCTCCAGCACGAGCAAGGGGGAGTGTTGATTGTGTAGGTGGTTGTGGTATTTTGCTCTAGCTGGTTGTGGGCTAAGGGTTTGGGCAAAATGTGGTGGTTAGACTTGTTGCGGGCTGGATTTGATCTCGCACCCAACAAGCACCAACAAACCTTTGTTACCGACTACAACACCTTTGGTGTTGCTAGTTTGGCATTTTGGGTTGTTGGGGATTGTTGTAGGGCGAGGGTTGGGATAGTAGGGCTTGACAAACTCGTTTTTTGTTTTTTCAGATATGAACTCTTGCTTAAGCCATTGCTAGATCTAATCCATGGCTGCCAAGTAATTCCGCCAGGATACCCCGTCGCACTTAAATCGCGATAGCGATCGGCCTAGATCTTGGTTGAAAGCGTGCTTTACTATTCTGGAAATTACAGATTAAGACCTTTCCAACGCGTACCTGCTCATATTTTTAGGTTACGTGAGCTGCACGCAATGGTTTGCCGAAGTCGGCAGACTTAATCTCTTGTTACGCTCTCCAGGTTCGTGCGCTTTCCATCAGGAGCTAGCTTACCAAATGGATATTAAAAGCGTGGGCATTGTTGGTGAAGGAGTAGACAAGGTTGTGTGGTCGTTGAAGCGCACCAAGGCAAGGTTGGGTGACCACTGAAGCGGCAACTTCTAATTGAGTCAAGTAAAACTCGACACTAGTTGTTCTTACTCAGGCCGGACTCGTTATTCGACCATAAAGGCGGGTTTTTTTTTTTTTTTTTTTTAATCTGGGCAAGTAATATAATACTCTACGAGAGTCGAGTACAACTCGGCTCATGGCATTCCGCCCGCCACCCTGCCAAATTTGCTCGACAAAATGCTTATTCTGCACAACATTGGCAGTACAATGCCAAGCTCGCAAAAATCTGGCAACAAATTTCCTGCACAGTGCAGGTCTGGTAGTGAAATGTCGCAACCGACTCTTTCTTTTTTGCTCATCGAATAATGATTGTTTGTGGTTTTTTTTTCTGTAAAACACAAAACGTTTAGACGAACTCATTGCTCGTCTCAATTGAGTTTCCGCATTCCGACATCCCCTTGGTTTCCAGGCAGGTGGAGGAGATGGCATCAAAGAGCCATCCGCACTTGGTGCGGCTGCTGGGGTACTGTGTGGACATTGACAGGACAGGGCAACAGACCACCACGAGGAGATCGTGATCTATGAGTTCTGGCCCAACGGGGACCTCGAAAAATACCTCAGTGGAGGTGAGTGAAGTTTCTTGAGCATTACGTTTTCCCTGGCAAGGGCCAAATGTTTTTAAATTTGAGGATTTGGTTGCCGATTTCAGCTTTCTTGTCATCAACTGTCTTTGCACGTGCGACATGGTTTTGACATTCCCTAACCCCTGCATGCGTTAAGATTCAATCAAGAAGCATGATACAATTTTGTACGGTCGATACGAGCTAACGCCGCACATATTGATAATTGTTTCTTTGTTATTCAAATATAGGTGTTGCACACCAGCCTTCCTATTGGAGATTTCAGTAAATTCTTTTGGAGATTTACCATGTTTTTTTCCTCTTTGTGCAACTCATCCTTGCTGAAATTAAGAGCCTTGAGCACCATTATGTTTTGAACGATTTTAAACTCAAGTTTTTATGGTTGCAAGTTGCATCACTCATTGCGGTAGATGCCCTTACTGTTTTGTCTCATTTTGCATTGTCTTGACAAAACGTTGTCTCCTTGTGAGACCTTTCAAAACAGGGATATTCTTTGAAGAGGTATTCATTTTGTTGATGCTACATCCACCCCATCATGTCCCCACTCACTCAAGAACCAAAAGGGCACGTTGAAACTGCAGCAACGGGTGCTTGGGAGGGGGAGTTGTCACTGCAGCAACGCATGGATGTGTTGGTGGGGCTGGTGGCACCATGTAAGTTGGTTCAACTCAAGTTGAGCCGCATTTTTTATATGCCTTCCCTCACATTCAGGGCCCAAAAAAGGGGAGCTGACGCTACAGCAGCGCATGTATGTGCTGGTGGGGGTGGCACGGGGGTTGGAGTACCTCCACCAGTTTGACATCGTGCATCGAGACATCAAGCCCGACAACGTCTTGCTCGATGCTAAGATGCAGGTAACAGGGGAGGGGAGGTGAGATGGTTGAGTGCGGTGTAGTGAGGTTTTGGGGCATGGGTGGTTGGGGGTTGGAGACATCAAGCTTGTCAACATGCTGCTCAATGCACGCATGCGATGTTTGGGAGCGATGCAAGGGGGTGGGTGAATGAGGGGTAGTGCAGTTGGGGAGCCGACGTGCTGCTCAATGCCAACATGCAGGTGGGAGTGGAAGTGATGGTTTGTTGGCCAAATATACATGACTCGCTGTATCGCTCACGACGCAGGCACTGCTGCTGGATAAGACCAACCGTCACCACTATGCCAAAAGGTTTCTGTACGGTTTGGCACCACTGTAGCTCTTTCTGACGGGTGACAACGGCATCCTGATAAGAGTGAAAACGTCTAAAAAATGCTCTCTTATCACGTGACAACGGCATCCTCAATGTTGCTTTTCCAACACCCCCCCTTATTACTGGGAACGCCTGGGACATGACTTTCTACCGTGCGCACCTGGGGATTCGAACTAGAGACCTTTGACGCTGGTACCATTTGTTGGATAACCACAATTGTAACCACTTTGTTGAATTGTGCCTTAGTTTGTGGGCAATAAAACTCTCCAAACCACGCATGTTCTCCTGGGTACAAATCGATGCACGTAAGTAGCCTCACCTTGGCAAACTCGTGACCTTCTACAGTGTTTCTGTACTCCTAACAACATCAGAGAGTGTCAAAGTCAGACATGACTAACAAGTGAAACTCGACTCTTGTCGCCACTGGCTTGTTCGATTTTTTTTTTTTGTTGATCAACTTGAGGCGTCGTCGGCGATTTTCCGACTTCACCCAAATTGATGTGAATTGACCTGCGTCGACTCGTGCCATAGCTATGCATTTTATACTTTCAACTTATCAACCTATATTTCATCCAGCATACTTTCGCATGTCTGGTTATGATGGGTAGCACTGCGGTTTTGTGCTGTTGGCTTGCTAGTATGCATGAAACGAGTGCTTGCCAGGGCTGTCAATTGGTCTAGGCCAAAACTGGGATCCTTTAAAGCAACAGTATACTTTTGCAAGCAGGGGTTTCAAAAACCTTAGGAACTTGAAAAACTGGTTACGCGATTACAACCCCAACCCCCAGTTGACAGGCGGAGTCCCCAAACGCCCCACGTCCGGCTCCCCGCACTCACAGTTCAAGACCTTAGGACTTGCAAAAGGAAACTGAAACTGCGGTATTGAGAGGAAAGCCCACGCGCTCCTACTTCGGTAGGTTATTCCCCGTAGGCTAGGCAACGTTCTAACCAAACAGCTAAATTTAGGGACAGAATCTGTTATTGAACCGTGTAACGCTGTTTGCGCGCATGCGCGGACAAATTGCCCATTCGTACGCACTCGCAGAGGCCACGCCAACTTAGACAAGGCCGCCCCACACCTCCTCTCGCTGCCTCACCGCGAGGCCATTAGCGACAGCGCCTCCCCTCCCCACAGAGTCCTGTTTAGCCTCGACGCGCTAGCATCTGCCATCCCATCCCGTCCTCCACTCCTAGCTCGCCGTCCGCCGTTCGCCGCGCGAGGTTAGCCGCAGCTTCCCGCTCGCCACTCGCGTGCCCTCCCTCTCGCGTTCGCCTCCCCGCGCGCTCTCCTCTCGCTTTCCCCGCGCGGCCTCCTCACGCCTCCCCGCGCGCTCGACTCTCGCTTTCCCCGCGCTGCCTCCTCTCACCTCCACGCGCGGCCTCCTCTCGCCTCCACGCGCGGCCTCCTCTCGCCTTGCCGCGCGGCCTCCTCTCGCCTTGCCGCGCGTTCTCCTCTCGCCTCCCCGCGCGTTCTCCTCTCGCCTCCCCGCGCCTCCTCCTCTCACCTCCCCGCGCCTCCTCCTCTTGCCTCCCCGCGCTCTCCCAACGCCTTCCCACGCGCGCGAATCTCGCCTCCCCGCGCTCTCCTCTCGCCTCCCCGCGCTCTCCTCTCTCCTCCCCGCGCTCTCCTCTCGCCTCCCCGCGCGTGCGACTCTCGCCTCCCCGCGCGGCCTCCTCTCGCCTCCACGCGCGGCCTCCTCTCGCTTTCCCGCGCATGGAATGCCTAGCCAGCGTTGTCGGCTTCACCCTGCCTCCCGTCGCTGCCTCTCCGCGTCTCGGCGGCCTCCTTTCGCGAGCTGCATTCGGATAAGGCCCTCGGCCCCCTCTCACTCTCTTGCAACGGCTGTGCTTCCGCATCCCCGCTGCACCCCCCTTGAACGCCCTCACTTCCCCACCTGTACGCCCTCGTTTTCCCTCCCTGCTTGCCCTCGTTTCCCCACCTTGCACGCCCTCATTTTCTCCCTTGTACGCCTTTTTTTCCCCCTTGCACGATCGCATTTCTCCCCCTGCTTGCCCTCAATGCTCCCCTGCTTGCCCTCATTTCTCCCCTTCTCCTCTTCCCGCCACCCCCACTCCTCCCGCCATGCCTTCTCCTCCTCCCGCCACCCCCTCTCCTCCTCCCACCATGACTTCTCCCACCATGCCTTCTCCCCCTCCCACCATGCCTCCTCCCCCTCCCGCCGTGCCTTCTCGTCCTCCCGCGACTCTCGTCCTCCCGCCACTCCTTCTCTTCCTCCTTCATCTCCCCCCCTGCCTCCCACCATTTCCCCGCCTGCTTCCCCTATTTTCCCCCTCTGCTCCTCTTTCCCCATCTTCTCAACTTTCCCACCTCCGCTCCTTTTCCCCCTCTGCTTCTCTTCTCCCCCTCTTCTCCTCTTTTCCCTCACTGCTCCTCTTTCCCCCCTCTGTTCCTCTTTTTCCCCCCTACTTTACTTTCCCCCTCTGCTCCTCTTTCCCTCTCTGCTCCTCTTTCCCCCCTCTGCTTATCTTTCCCCCCTCTGCTTATCTTTCCCCCCTCTGCTTATCTTTCCCCCCTCGGCTTATCTTTCCCCCCTCTGCTCATCCTTTCCCTTACTGCACCTCTTTCCACCCACTGCTCCTCCTTTCTTCCTCTGCTCCTGTTTTTCCCCCCTGCTCTCAGTTTTCCCCCCTGCTCTCAGTTTTCCCCCCTGCTCTCAGTTTTCCCCCCTGCTCTCAGTTTTCCCCCCTGCTCTCAGTTTTCCCCCCTGCTCTCAGTTTTCCCCCCTGCTCTTTTCCCCCCTGCTCTCAGTTTTCCCCTCCTCCTTATCCGCGCTCCTCCTCCCCTCCTCCTTATCCGCGCTCCTCCTCCCCTCCTCCTTATCCGCGCTCCTCCTCCCCTCCTCCTTATCCGCGCTCCTCCTCCCCTCCTCCTTATCCGCGCTCCTCCTCCCCTCCTCCTTATCCGCGCTACTCCGCCCCTCCTCCTTATCCGCGCTCCTCCTCCCCTCCTCCTTATCCACGCTCCTCCTCCCCTCCTCCTTATCCGCGCTCTTCCTCCCCTCCTCCTTATCCGCGCTCCTCCTCCCCTCCTCCTTATCCGCGCTCCTCCACATCCCTGCCTTCCCTCCTCACATCCCTGCCTTCCCTCCTCACATCCCTGCCTTCCCTCCTCACATCCCTGCCTTCCCTCCTCACATCCCTGCCTTCCCTCCTCACATCCCTGCCTTCCCTCCTCACATCCCTGCCTTCCCTCCTCACATCCCTGCCTTCCCTCCTCACATCCCTGCCTTCCCTCCCATAGGTTCGGGGCCCCACTATTTACGGTTGCGACACCACGTGTCATACAGCCAGTATGCATATGCAAAGCTGCAGGTTTTGCATGCAATCCTGCTACACACAGGGCAAAGCCAGGCCCGGGCAATTTTGGCGACATGAAGGGAGGAGCAGCAGGTCCAAGAGTTTGGGGGGGAATGAAGGCGACACAAAGAGTAGTGGAAGGTGCTGTCTTGTACAATGTTTTGCGATGATTTTATCATGAGTACGTACTCCTCTCAAGCTTCTCTTCTCTACATCAATGCTGTGCTGTGCCCATTTGAAAGAACAGAGGTCACATGACAACCATTGGATTCCACTGCCATTATTCAGAATGTAAATGAGTTGTAATACCATGTTATGGCTAGATACATTGAGGCACACACATTGTAGACTGAGATTACAACTTCACTGTGCTCCATGCTGCACAGAGCAGATATCGAGTAAAGATGATCTGGAAATCCGGAGGACAGAGTACAAGCGTGCAGGAAGAGCGGGTTGGGGGGAGGGTAAGGGGGTGGAGACGAACAAGGGCAAGCAGGTGGGGAGACAAAGCGTAAGAAGGGGTGAAAAACTCAGAGAAAGGAGGGTGATACGGTAGCATAGAAAACAACAGAGGAAGGAGGGTAAGGGGGGAACTGTGGGCAAGACGCAATCGAAGAGAAAGCAGGCAAAGGAGAAGCAGGGGCGGAAATGAAGGGAAAGAGAGGGAGAAACGAGGGGAAGCAGAGGGAGAAAAGATTGGAAGCTGGGGAGGTAGTGAGAGGGAGCAGGGGAGGTGATGAGAGGAAATGAGGGGAAGTTGTGGGGTGAACAAGGATGAGAGGGGGGAACGAGGGGAAGCAGAGGGGGAAATGAGGTGAAGGAGAGGGGGGGGACGAGGGGAAGGAGAGGGGGGAACGAGGAGAAGGAGAGGGGGGAACGAGGGGAAGGAGAGGGGGAACGAGGGGAAGGAGAGGGGGAACGAGGGGAAGGAGAGGGGGGAACGAGGGGAAGGAGAGGGGGGAACGAGGGGAAGGCGAGGGGGGACGAGGGGAAGGAGAGGGGGGAACGAGGGGAAGGAGAGGGAGATGGATGGGTGGAGGAGAGGGATGGGTAACAAACAGGGGGAGGGATGGGTAACAAACCGGGGGAGGGAGAGGGGATGTGAGGGAAAGTTGTGTCTGATTTCGCTCACAGCTTTAGACGGATGCGAAGGGGAGGCAAGGGATGGACAGGTGAGAGAAGGGGATGGAGAGGGGGAACAAGGGGAAGCAGAGGGGGAAATGATGGGATGGAGAGGGGGGAACGAGGGAGAGGAGAGGGGGAAATAAGGGAAAAGAGAGGGGGGAACGAGGGTAAGCAGAGGGGGAAACAAGGGGTAGGAGTAGTGGGGGAAAAGAGAGAGGGAGGGGGGGAAATGAGGGAACAGGGAGGGGAAATGAGAGGTCCGGGGAAGGAGGTTGGACGACGGGCTCCCCGCATTCATGGCGATGCGCCCATTCAACGGTGGCAAGCAGCGCGTGAGGCGAACGCCTCGCGGAGCGCAGCATTTTGGGCGAATTCGACATTCGCCCAGAGACGCGAGCAGCAGGTGAGGCCAGCAGAGGGTGAGCGTGCTAAGAGAGGCGAGCGATGGGTTCGAGAAGCACTCGCCTGCACTAAAACTTGAGAGGAATCGCAGTGCGTGAGCGGTGAGGCGCTATGCGGTGAGGCGCTCGCTTAGCGATCGTGCGCTTTTCGCTGTGAGGCGCTTAGCGGTTAGGCACTAAGCGGTGGGGCGCGCAGAGTGTCATTAGGCGAGTCGCGGGTGACGCGCTAAGAGGGTGTCGTGAGCTGCGGGTTCGGCGATCGAGCTGCAGGTTTCGTGAGAATATCGCCAGCGAGGAGAGCGCATGGAATGCGCGCCTCTTCGAAGGCTATTCCTACATCGCGTGCGAGGCCTTAGAACGAGTCTAGTCATCAGAGAGTAGGGTGTTGTAGAAATGCTTGTGACACGTGTCCCCTTACCAACAGCGAGTTTCTTAGTGGTACCGCTACTCCTCGGCCCCCTTAGTCACCTTTTTCATTGCCTGTGGAAAGGCATTTCCTAGTGTCTGAGTGTCACTCCAGGTGTCGGGTGACGGGAGAGTTTTTCGTGTTCGCAACTAACAGCCTTCCAAACTTTTGCCGACCCTCTCGCCAAGCCTGTTCGTTTTCGTTGGGGTTTGCTTTTGGTGGGTACTGTTCCAAAATCAACAGTACTTTCAAATGTATACTGCTGCTTTAAAACCAAATCATCTTTGGCGACAAATCAGAAAAAATGGATGACGCCAACCGCCATAATTTAGTAAACACATAGCGTTTTTTTCTTCGAGCAATCCCTGTTTTGTTTTTCCTTGCACGCTTTTTTACTCGACGGACAACATTTGGTTGGACTTTGGGCTCATATGCAGGACCATAACACACAGTGCCACCTTTCTTTCCCCTCTGCTCCATCCAGGCATAGGTGCCTAATGTTCACTTCTGTGTTACAACCCTTTCTACCCCCTATTGTAGCCAAAGGTGTCAGACTTTGGGCTGGTTCACATGACAGGCCTCATGTGCTCATCTTGCTTTCCCCAGCCCCCACCAGCCAAATGTGTCGGACTTTGGGCTGGTTCACATGACCCTTGGTAGCCAGTATGCGACCATCTCTCTGATATCCGTTCTCCCTATCAGACTTGGGCCTATTGCGCATGACAGGTCTGGTGTGCTCACATGTGTCGCCCCGTCTTTCCCCGCTCCCCCCACCAAGGGAAGGTGTCAAACTTTGGGCTGGTGCGAATGACTGAGGGCACCACAGTGAATCCCACCCGAGTGGTCGGCACGCCGGGCTATGTGGACCCCGCTTACTCGCGCACCAACAAGGCCACACCCATGGCCGACGTGTTCAGGTGGGTTGGGTTGAATCAAGCCCCCTTTTCTTCCTATGTCTGGTGTGCGTACGTGAGTCAGTGGTTCCTTTGTTCCTATAGCTTAGTTCTTTCTTATGTGGTACTAAACCCATGAGCATGATCGCCTTCAAGTATCCTTTGTTTTTCTCTTTTCTTTCACCTTCATGATTTTCATTTCCTTCATTCACCCCCTTTCTTTGACAGCTTTGGGGTGATGATGCTTGAAATACTGCTGACGCTGCCTGTGGTGATGCAAGAGAATGGTGGAATTAACATAAAAGACTGGGTAAGTGCAAATGCAAGATATTTGAATTATTCATTCACACCCCCTTCATCTATATGCGAGCGATTTCAAAATCTTCGAATTTCCTTCCATACATCCCTGTCGAACCGAACTTTCCTTTTCCATCCAGCATTTCCGGCAACTTGAAAGAATGACCACAATTCAATTGTTTATTTCTAAAAATACACAAATCATTTACACTTGCTTGTCTGCCTGCAATTGTCTACACCTGCAGGTCGACAAGCGTGTGCAAGAAGGCGATATCGAGTCCCTCAAAGACCCCAACCTTGACTCGGTGCCCAATGAGCTTCTACTTAAACTGGTCCAGCTCGCGCTGCGATGCACATCACTACCGGCCTCATCGCGTCCGTATATGACTGAAATCGCTGCGCACTTGGGAGCGCTGAGAACAGATTTTCTTGGCGGTGAGATGTCGACGAAAGAGTCGAGACTGCTCAAGTTTGATCAAGAGGCTGGGAGGCACTATGGACCTGGGCGCACAATGGATGACGAGCTAGAGATTCTTGATGAGATGCTCACTGAATAGGAGGCGAGGAATGAGTAGACCTGTCAATTAAGAATTGAGATTGTGTTGATTTTTTCACATCTGCTGTGTGTTCAAAACCTTATTCTCCAACATCATTAGAAGATTGACAATCGCAGTTACACCTGTATAAGAACCTTATCATGGCTCATTTGTCCATGCTGGTTACTGTACACCACACAAACAACCCCGAACTAAACAAATCAATTGGGTATTACATCAATTTTGGGTATTACTCTTGTTCAATCTTCGTTCGACTCAAAGCGGTCAAACAGAGGCTTGGGGATGGCATGTGAAATGTTGTTGAAGGAAATTTTCAAGTCTAGTGTGTAAATTTTCTTCACCCTCTTGTATGTTTCCTGCACTGGGTACACAAAACGAACCAGACCGCACAAGGGTCAGCCATGGTGGCGGATATACATATTGCTGGCACTTCTATAGAACACATGAGCTGGAAGCATACCACAAGAAGAGTGACTGGCTGAAACAAGGAATTGATAAAGCTAGTGGGAAGGAGCTAGTGCACATAAAGGAGGCTGGCAAGGCAGGATATTCACTTCATCATACATCATCACAAGCTTCCCGTCAAAACTTGACCTGATGATTTTTAAACCGACCCTAAAGTCACTCAAGGGATAGTAGAGATCTAGTGTGTGCAAAGAAGAGGCAGGCAAGGCCGGCTACTCACGTTGTCATACACCACCTCACACAAGGCCGAGCAGCTAATCTAACGATATGAAACTTATTGAGAAGGTATTCCTGTATGCTGCAAGAGCCAACTCTACCGAGTACGAAGTCGAGGAGTCAGAAGAGTCGAAGCGACACCAGCAACCGTCAGACCAAGACCGATGCAGGCAGAAACATTTGAAATGAAAAGAGCGGGAACAGGTTTGAAACGGGTTCCCGCGCCGCACGGTTTGAATTTCGCTGCAATAAGGGAATGTACCCCTTAGAGTACATGGCTAGTCTATGTCTTTTCGTATTCCCTGTATTCTCTATATTAACTCGATGTATGCATGCTTTTATCATCTCAGTCATATACATTCACTCTGACATGAGGTCAAACACTTCCGCTGCAACGCTTCCTACGAACAACCCTGAACCGATCCCCTGGCTAAGTCCTTCTTAGGATTGTACCATGGTATGAGAGCAAGTCAGAGATTCTCCGCAACCCTACTTCCGTGAAATTCGCCGAACCAAGATCTGGCGGGTGGCACACGCTCCAAAACCAAGATGGCTGGAGGATCCGAAGGCCAAACAAATCTAACGGCTGAAGGACAAACCAACCCGGCTGCGACAAATGAGGCGACAACTACGATCAGTACCGCTACACTCGAACAGCTGTACAACGACTGTTAACTATGGAGAAAGATCTCCAAGCATTGCGGAATGGCGACTCGGGAACCACTTCCCAACCAGCACAACCTTCTCAATCGGCGGACGTGATACCGCCCCGCACACCTTCTCCTTCGACACAGACAAATCAACACCAAATGCCTCCCGTCCAAGTGATGAAGTTATCAATTCTGTGCAAGCGCGCTTCCCGAGCGTTTCAAAAATCAAGACAAATACCGCGTTTGACGGCAATGTCTTTTATACATGGAGTTTTGAGCAAGAGCTCCTCCTACAAACAGCGCAGATCTACCACTACTTCGACGGCTCCTATCCTAAACCGGTGGAAGACACCGAAGACGACCGGACTCAATACTACAGTGAGTCCCTCATGGCATACAACGGGCTGCTACAGAATATGACACCTATGAAGCAACTCGGCACCCGCTCCTACAAAGAGAGCGTCGCTCCAGCTTTGGAAGCCTGGAAGGACCTTGTCGAGGTATATCAGTCGAAGGACTCCGTCACCTCCAGCAGGCTCCTGCAGCAACTCATGGAGACAAAGATGGGGCACGGGGAGAAAGCAATTTCGTACAGTAATCGCTGTCGGAACATCTGTGATCAAGTCACGAAGCATGGAAGCGCAATTTTGGAGGAGATCTATGTCAATATTGTCCTCCAAGGACTCGGGCCTGAGTGGAAGCCCTGCAAGGCGCTACTCCGACAACGAGGGGTAATCTCAGAAGCTGCTCTATGCGCCGCTCTACTCACTGAACAACAAGACATGGACTCGAGCAGGACAAATTCGGCGCCACGACGAGAGTGCCTCACCTTCTACGCTGACAACCATGAAGAGCGACGACAATCCTGACGCCATTACTGCAAAATTTGCAAAGTCTTTGGACACTCAACGGACCGATGCAAATTCCAGTCCAGCAACCGCCACCCAAATCCCACTTACCATAACAACTAGGTCGGCCGACAAGATGCTCGTCACTTTCAGCCTCAACATCAAGCTCCTCGTCCTCCTGCACAGCAACAACAACAACAGTAGCATACACAAGCATCACAGACGGGAGCAACAAGAAACATGCCTGACGGAGATGAGGAACCCGCAGATGAATTGATCCAACCAGAACTGGGATACAAAAATCCCCTCAGCGTCAGCCATTACTATTACGGAGATGAGGATCGGCGGGAATGGCACTTATCGATCCAGCTGAGGGAAAGCCCACCTCACCGCCATGATTAACGACTAGTTCCTCTGGGATGGCAAAAGGAACAAGACTTCCTCATAATCGACAAGACGACCATCGTCACACCGCGCCTCGCGCTGCTCCTACGCAACAACAACGCAACTCACAACAACTGGTACCTGGACAGTTGTTGCTCCCAACACATGGTGGGATAAGTGCGCTATATTTCCAACATCAGCCGCACCCCCATTCCCACTTACGTCACCGTCGCCGACAATGGCCAGCTACGCGCAAATGCGCAAGGCATCGTCGTGCTGCAAGCACGAGATAGCAACACACACATCACCTTCAACGACGTGCTCTACGTGCCGGACCTATGTTTCAACCTCCTATCCACGGCACAACTCTCTGACTTCGGAGTCACATTCACCACCGATCCCTACATCCACGACCTCATCCTCAACTACCCGCTGAAACTCACAAGTATCTCGGGTGAGAACGTTCAATCAACGGAGTCTACGTGCTCGACTTCGACATACCCGACTGTAGGGCAACATCAGACAAGCTTGTGGATCTCATTCTGCTGGACTTCACCTACACATACGAAAATTCATGGAAACACCCTGATGGGTGGCCATGGATCAGACGCAGTCCTCATCTGCGTGAGATAAACCTGCACTGGCCCGGGCCCGACGGACGATGCACCACTTGCTTCACGCCCACGGCGAGCCGCACAGAAGAAGTTGAAAGAGACTTGGCAGCGATCGAAGGAGCGGAAAGCGTTGGGGCTTCAACAGTAGGCATGACGGAGATGGAACTCACGACTACATCATACCATGTCTTCGGGAACGAACAAGAGGAGCACATGCACGAGACCGCCCCGGCCCTGCAACTGAAACACTTCACTGGGTCCTAGAAGATTCGTTGACTGGGACCTTTGACGAGGAGAGTCGGCCACTCCCTACACTCGCGACGTTCATCGCCAAGTATACAAGGACTGGAAGGACCCTGACGCGCCCAACGAGCTCAGTGTCAAGGAGGAAGAGGAGAAGGGAAAACAAGAAGAGAGAGAAAATATTATTCAGGAAAGGCTTGTGGCAGGCTGGGACAAAGAATCGGCAAGAAGGATGGGGATATGGCGGCACCGAAGGGGACATGAGTGCCTCCGGAGCAATATGGGGATCAGCAACTGGTGCCTCTGGTACCGTAAGCAGTTGGGGCACTGGCGGAGGAGGCTGGGAGAACGTCAGAGCCTGGGGTGTGACTGAAGGAGAACTCACCCGAGAATAACTAGAGGAGGTAGAGAGAGAAGCGGCAGCCGAGCGCACCACACCAAGAGTTGCAGTTTCCCTCTGCTGAGCCCCGCGCAATCTGTCGTCACTCCACCGCTCACCTTACACCTGGGAGTCCACTTGGACAAGACTCAAACGTGGAAATATCCCCGGGACTCCCCCGCGCGACTCTCAAGGACCGATTTCCCGTCCAGATCCCTTCGCCCACTTCATCGAAGGCACCACTACCCCGCTCAACACCATCATCGACCGCAACTTCTTCGTGCTCTATCTTACGATTGCACCTGCAGAAGGAGAAACAGCAGCAGAACCAGAAACAGAGGAGGAAGACGAACCAGAACCAGGAGAAGAAGAAAGACCCCTGCTCTGCATTCCCCACGAGACAGAAGCAGAGGCAGCCGCACATCACGAACGATACCTGCGCACCCCTAGAGTTTGCGCAGATGACGACCTCTTACATCAGCGACTCGGTCATCCTTCGTGCCAGACGTTCAACAACTGCCTCACCGCTAAAGTATTTCAACCAGGCGCACTACTGCGCCCTGACGGCACGGAAGCATAGCGCACCACACAGCCACAAGTCTGCACCATCTGCCCAACAGCTGCACTCACGCACCAAGCTACCCTTCCCTAAAGCCAAGCACTAACCGCTATAAGAAGTTGCAAAAGGTTTACAGCGACTTCATCGCGATAACCTACGGAGGAGTCAACGATGAGAATAACACTCTTACCTTCATCGACGAGTACTCACGCTACGTTTGGGTCGCAAACGTTGACTTTCACTCCAAAGCTCCAAATGTCTTTCGCATCTGGCCGGCGCAAACGCAACGGGAATCGTGGAAGAAATTGAAGATTTGGCAGACAGACGGAGCCAAGGAATCCCACAGCAATGAGCTACAGAACTTTCAGAGAAGGGGATCCAGCACCACATCTTACTCCCCTACGCTCACCAGCAGCAAGGTGTAGCCGAGCGAGTCAACCGCACTCTCATGACGAAGGTTCGCCCCCTCATGAACCAGTCCGGAGTCCCCAGGAAGTACTGGCTCTACGCCATGAACCACGCCATGTGGCTGCACAACTTTCTGTCCACCACAACTAACAGGGGGAACCTTTCACCACACATGAAGTGGACCGCGACAAGGGGGGATACCTCCATGGTGAGGGTTTGGGGGTGCATGGTGCG